CCGTGCAGGGAGCACTGCGGAGCCCGGGTTTGAACTCGGGTGTGCCAGGCTCCAGAACCTGCTGCCTTCCGGTCAGCTCGGCACTGCTCCTCCGCGAGAGGCTCCCACACTTCTTGCAGTGATGCTCTTCAGGACATGGACGTGGCAGCCACCCTAAACATAATACTACCCCCTTCCTGCTCTCAGCTTAGGAAATTGATGATGTGTTTGCTCTGGGACATTCTCCTTTGCCACCCCTCCCCCGGCCGTCCTCTATACACAACCTGTACTTGCTTGTTTCCATCTTAACATCCTTCACACTGAGCTCATGACTTCGCCCCTACTGAGTCTTACGTTCCAGGCACCTGGCACGGCCTGGCACAGAGCGTGCACAGAGCACGCCGCTGGTGACCGAGGAAGGGATGACAGCGGATCATGTATTGCCCTCCCAGATATCTGCAGGGGTCATAAACGTGCTGAACTAGAGGAGGGACTGAGGGTGATATGTCGAGGGAGTACCTTGGACCCTGGGGCATGTCTGATTGTCTCCTGCCTCAGAGAGGAGCTCTCTAGAAAAGCAGTCAGGAAGCCTCATTGTAGGGGCCTGAGGCTGGTGCACCTGAGCAAACAGAAAGGGTCTAATAGATGTTCTGGGTCCCCAGAGCGACTGTGCTGCAGCAACTCCCTGGGCCGAGTGGGGGACGGCACTCTTCTGCTCTCTGGCTTCCCCACCACCTCGGACCCTCCTCCTTTTGTAGAAAGAGCAGAATATTAGGAGCCCAGAAAGACACCTACCCACACACCCCTGGCTCGCCGTGGGATTTCAGAAGTCGCTTTGTGCTTCCCTGAGCGTTCATTTTGTCACCTCTAAAATGGAAATTATCATATACAGCCTGACTGCCCCATCAGATTATATAGATCAGAAGAGACTGTAAAAATGAAAGTCCTTTGTAAACCAAAGCACTCTGCTTGTCTGAGGTATCATCTTCATCTGCACACTCAGTCTTCCCAGGGTGGTTTATGTGCAGAGATCCCTTTGATACATCTCGGGAAATTCCTGGCAGTCCTGACACTCAGGCGTAGTTCACTTGTCCCTGGGTTTGAAGACACACTAGGAGACTCTCTGTCTAAAAGCTCTTAGAAAATCCATCTCTCTGAGGCTTCCATTTCTTGGCATCTGTAAAATGAATGTATGATGTACCTTTAAGCCTGTAAGTAAAAACCACATCCCTCTTATCTCTGTTCTGAGAAGGAGGTCAAGTTACAAGTCCTGTGAGAAGGGAACTTCTTGGTTCCTGTTCTTGCTGAGGCGTAAACTGCTAAACCACCCCCAGAGGTACATGATGGGGCTAACCAGGGGGTCGCCTCAATAAGACACATGCAAAAGGCAGGTGGCTCCATTGCTGTTCAGTGATTTGGGGGCAGAAAAGGCAGTTCCTTTATGATAGTGCAGGGTGAAGGGGCATCCGGGAGGCTAGAGAAGGGGCTGGAAGCCAGAGAGAGGATGAGGACATGAAGCCGGAGAGGAGCCGTGGTGGTGTCGTGGGCGGGTCTGGGCCGGGGTCCTGAGAGTGCTAAGTGGTTGGAAAGGAAGTGTGGCTGCTTGGGCTCTGTTTGTCCCTTTTTACTCCTGTTGCCCATTAGGAAGGACTTCCTCTCACTGCTTTTTCTGCCTTTAGGTGTCATGTTTTTAACCGTATACAAATTGTTATATTTTTGCTAGTGGGATGAGAGGCAGACAAAAGCATCGTTGCTCTAAATGGAGGCTCTTCTGTGAAGAATGCTCATGCTGCATGTTACCCGCTGCGGGTTCTCTGGGGGGACAGGTGGTTGGAAGGGTACTAACCTGGCCAGAAAGCGCAAGCCTCACCGGCTCTGTGCTTGACAGGTGCTTTGTTATCTGTCTGCCTCCCCGGGAACCTGAGATTACACTGTGTCTGGTTCATTATTTCTCCTCGGTCCAGTACAAGACCCTAGGCTGGGATGAGGTCTCTGACCCAAAGCCCGTCCAAAGATGTAGAAGAGAAAGAAAGGGGGAAAATGCTAATATTTCAGTATTAGGAGGGGTTTGGCAAGTTCTAAACCAACAACTGATTTTTTTTTTTTTTCACAAAAGGAGATGGAGTTTCAGAGAAAGGATTGTCACGTAAGGTTGAACAGGTTGCTCACTGCTCAGTTCTAGGGGATACCAGTTGCACTACTGTCATTAGAGTCTCCCCCCACCCACTGGGGTAGAACAGTGTCCTGAGGAATGGATGCCTTTGCCTGGTGTGCCTGGGGATACTGTGGGGACTAGCAGCTGTGTTGCTCTGGGGAGGAAAATCAGCTTATTCAAGTATTAAGCAGAAGGGAAACATTCCCTACACACTACTGTTCTTCTTAGCTGGTTGAGGTCATTCAGACTATGCTTTAGCAACATTTACTGAGAATTTTCTATATAGGTACCATTATCATCCCCATTCCATACCTGGGGAAAATGAGATGCAAACAGACCAAGCAATTTTCTAAAGGTGACACAGCTAGTAATGGCAGAGCCCTAATTTGAACCTAGGTAGCCTGACTCGAATGCCTACAGGCTTAATCGCCTCAGTTATCAAGACTGTACCTTCATCTAAGAAAGGGCATCATTATCAAATTGGTTTCCATATAACACCCAGTGCTCATCCCCACAGAAGTCCTCCTCCATGGAAACCAACTTGACAATAAACTATTTTTAAAAAAAGAACATAATATAATTCTTCCAGATGAAATTAAACTTCTCCTGGAACAAAAATAAATGAATGAATGAATGAATGAATTTTTATAAAGGGCATTATTAACCCAGAGGAACCTCTGGTGGAATAAGGGGGTGGGGTGTGGAATGTGGATAATCACCCATGACTCCCTCATTATTCTAAGGTGTCCAGCAAAGAGAATAACATAAGGAGGCCCGTAGGACGGTACCCCTTACCCTCACTCCCTAACTTCTAACTCCAGACTTGGTCTTGCTCTGCATGTTTTGTAAGTATGGCCATAGCATCAGTGAATATATAGGTTTTCCCATTATCCTCAGTTTTCTTATAATGCTGGACATAATAGTTCCATATAAACAGCTATTTAGTTTACAAAGTGCTTTCACAGTGATTTCCACATTTGAACTTGCACAACAACATCGGTAAGGAGAGCATTATTATTCCACATTACAAACAGGAAACTGAAGCTCAAAATTTCCAGGGGGACAGAGGTCCGCATTGTTCTCAATCCGGGTGATCTGGCTCTAGATAATTCTATGTTCTTTATCCTGTATCCTATAAGGATATCTATACTGATGCGTATGTGTATACCCTACTATATGAGAGTTCTAACTTTTATTTTGGCTGAAAACCATGGTTTTGAAGAGCACTCTGCCAAACACAAGTGAGGATCCCTGTGTCATGTTTCCCGGGGTAACGCAGGTCCGGTCTGTGGGGATTTGTTGGTGACACTGGCTTTGGGATGACTTGATATTGTTGCTGTCAGGACCCATTGGGAAATGAAATTTCCCATTCTACCTCTTCATTGATCTTATGTGCTTATAGGATCATTTCCCAAAATTGCAAGACGCATTAGTTTCTATCCCTGGTGGGACCTTTGTGAAATTTCCCCATTTTCTCTCCAGGCGTTTCAAGTTAGTCACTACCCTTTGTATTGACTTTTGTGATTTCATATACATTGTTCTCAAGAGCACTAAAAGAAATTTCCACAGAGGAAGCCTGCAGCCAGACGGCAAAAGCCTGCAATGCCCAGGCACGCGAGTGACTAAGCAGTCAAGGTGTGTTTAAAATATAATCCTCAACCGGGAACTTGAAACTCCCCGGAGACTTGCGAATCTCTGCTATTTCTGTACACCCCTCCAACTTGCTATGGTCATTTGCATTAAGGAGCTGGAAGGCTTAATATTAGAAAGCACACGTATTATTAAAAGTAAAAAAACAAATTTTGTTACTTTCCAGTTAGAAGTGTCTTGATGATTAACTGATCCCCCACCCCACCCCATCCCCCTGAATTTTATGGAATGCTCTAGGCTGCCTACTTTCTGTCTCACATCCATCCACACACTCTTGATGAAATAAAAACAACCAACCAACCAAATATGCCATGTACTCCTTTCATAACTTCATTTCTTCTCCAAGAATTAATCGGATTGGGGCCCATTTGTACTCCAGTAGAAGATGTCCAGGGAAACTTCCAGAGAATTCAGTAAATGCTTTAGTTACTAAAAAAAAAAAAAAAAAAATACACGAATTCGGCATTAGGTGTTTTTCTGTTTGAAGTGATTTGTACATTATCTAAACATCATAAAAGAACATATTTCTTCTCTGACAAGGATGTCCCTTAGTGACCCAGAGTAAATCACTTAAGGTATCTTCCTCCAACTTCCTCTGCAAAAAAAAAAGAAAAGAAAAGAAAAAAAAAGGGTGCCTGGCGTGTTGCATTGATTATGTGATAAGGGAAGTGACTGAGTTCTTATGTATAACATATCCTGAATCTCAAAAGCCATATCCGTGCAACAACGTACTTAGTAATACTCTGTAGCATTTGGTATAACCTATCGAATTAATGACCTTGAGTTACTATGACTCATCCCTGCATTGTTTGCAACAAAGTCATTCTCAAAAATGAAAGTAACATGAAATAAAGCTTTGGCCCAACATTTTGACCACATAGCAAACTGAAAGAGGACTAAAGGAAAAATCTTCAGTGGTGGATGTGGTTTCAGTAGACACAAAATAACCAAAAGGGTAATCGGCAGGGAAGACACTCGAAGTACCTGTGAACCTCCACTTCCCCCGGAGAGCCCCACTTTGCCCAACTTATGCAAGTTCTGTGAGGTGGACCAGCTCTCTGCTCAGGCACGCAGAAAACCTTGAGGAGGCATGGGTGGGAAATCTTGGGAGGAAAAGAAGTGCCAAGAAGGGAAATGATTTTAGGAATCGAATATGCTGAGGACAGGAGCTGATGCCTTAGGGCAAAATCGTTGTGTTTTGTTTTGTTTTCTTCAGAACTTGATGAACTGCAGGCAATCCCTGAACTCAGTCGCGTGCCCCCTGGGACCGAACATACTGTACACATGCATCTCAGCAAATAGCCTTCAGAAAGGAGATTTAAAACCCAGAACACAGCATGGTAAGTGAAAATAAACAAAACACAGTGTTCTGTAGCAGCCCTGTGACCCGCTGGTAAAGGAACCAAAACCCACAAGCACAAGACACGAGTCATTATGAGGCAAACAGCAGTTGGTGACTTCAGAGGCTATAAGTGTAGCTGGAGCTGGCCCGCTGCCCACTGCCCACTGCTGTGAGTGACCCACGTGCTCCGCGCCTGCTCCCGCTTCCCTAGCTCTCATCATGAATGGGGAAAGCAGGTGGGTGTGCACATATGTTTGCTTTGTGTATGAATTCCAATTTCTTCCTCATGTTTTACGTCAGTAATGAGGAATAGTCTAGGAAGGGTTCCTGAAACACCCCCTCCACACACACACACACACACACACACACACAGAGTAAATCAAAGAGACACCAAGTATAAAATGTTATACTTGTTAAAATCCAAGAGACTTTTGGGGCGCCTGGGTGGCTTAGTCGGTTAAGCGTCCGACTTTCGCTTAGGTCATGATCTTATGGTTCGTGGGTTCGAGCCCCGCGTCGGGCTCTGTGCTGACTGCCAGCTCAGAGCCTGGAGCCTGTTTCAGTCTGTGACTCCCTCTCTCTCTGACCCTCCCCTGCTCACGCTGTCTCTGTCTCTCTATATATAAAAAAAATAAAATAAAATAAATAAAATAAAATCCAAGAGACTTTTGTGTGGAGAAGAATATTCATTACCATTTGCACTTTGTTGAAAGTCTAATTTATTAATCTTGTTTATTTAAAATACTTCTTTGTTTTCTTTTTAGAGAGAGGGAATGCAAGTGGGGAGAGAAGCTTAAGCTTCATGCTCAGCACCCTACCCAATGCAGGGCTCGCTGCTGTGACCCTGGGATCATGACCTGAGCTGAAATCAAGAGTTGGACATTCGACTGACTGAGCCACCCAGGTTCCCCTGAAATTCACAAGCAGCATTCCTTTAAATATTCACATACTTCCTGACCAAATAAATAAAAATATAACTCCCTAAACTGTTGCACACTTATTACAAACTTAAACGGATCTATAATCACATGTCAAGTATACCAAATTTTCTTGGTAACTTTGTAGTAGGCTGATTTTTGACCACCCAAAGATTTCAGGTCTTAATTCCTAGAACCTAAATATAACCTTGCAAGGAAAAAGGATCTTTGCTGATTTAATTGAACGTCTTGACGCTGGGAGATTATTCTGGATTATCCAGCTGGGTCTTAATCCAATCACAAGTGTCCTTATAAGAGAAAGACAGTGGGAGAGGGGACAGACACACAGAAAAGGAGGGGCCAATGTGACCACAGTGGTGAAGATTGGAGTGACGTGGTCACGTGTCAAGAATTGCCTGTAGACTCCAGAAGCTGGAGGAGGCAAGGGATGCAGAGGTCCTAGAGACAGCCTGACCTTGATTTCAGACTTCTGCCCTCCTCCAGAACGGTGAGCGAACCCATTTCTGTTGTTTTAAGCTACTGAGTTTGTGGTGATTTGTCATGCAGGCCCAGGAAACTAATATCCGATTTAACACCTTAGGAAGCAAACAAAACAACACAAAATGTCAGTATGGTTCTAAAACTATTTAAAAAACCTTCTCATTATTCCCGATTTAAAAAGTTCAATAGATTTGATGTTGCTTCTTAATCTTATTTTTTAAGTTTAAAAAAATTTTTTTTATTTATTTGAGAGAGAGAGACAGCATGAGCAGGGCAGGGTCAGAGAGAGAAGGAGACACAGAATCTGAAGCAGGCTCCAGGCTCGGAGCTGTCAGCACAGAGCACAATGCGGGGCTTGAACCCATGAACTGTGAGATCATGACCTGAGCTGAAGTCGGATGCTTAACCAACTGAGTCACCCAGGCGCCCCATATTTTTTAAGGTTTTTAAGAAGTCTGTCTTCCTGGGTTTTCAAAGGCAACTGTGCTGTCCCAGAGTTTCAGATCAGCTGAAACCTCCTTCACCTGGGTGGGTCCTTTAACCTGGGGGTACAGACCACAGTGATTCAGACCTGAGCCAGCGTTCAGACTGAGTTCCTTCTGTGGCAGTGCTTTTTGATTTCGTCAGAGGAGTTTAATCACCTTTCCTACTGAATTTAGTGGGGGGGGGGGAGGGTCCTTCCTACCCTTCTTCCTTCCCTCCTACCTTCCTTCCCTCTTTTTTTTCTTTCTTTCTTTCTTTCTTTCTTTCTTTCTTTCTTTCTTTCTTTCTTTCTTTCTTTCTTTCTTTCTTTCTTCTTTCTCCTTTTCTTTTCTTATTTTTTTGCAACTTAAAATTCTTATTGCCCACAGCCATAATGCAGTAACATCATCTATAGGATAATTATATATGTCTTAACAGTAGTTCATTATACCAGTAAGGAAGATGCATCAGATTTGTTTTCTTGGATGGGCGATTGGCTCTCTTTTTAATGATCTGAGAATGCCCGTTTTTTGTTTCAATTTTTTTAAATGTCTATTTATTTTTGAGAGAGAGAGAGAGACAGAGTGTGAACAGGGGAGGGGCAGAGAAAGAGGGAGACACAGAATCAGGCTCCAGGCTTCAGGCCCCAAGCTGTCGGCTCAGAGCCCAACATGGGGCTCAAACCCACCAACAGTGAAATCATGACCTGAGCCGAAGCCAGACACTCAACCGACAGAGCTGCCCAGGTGCCCCTTGCCCCTGTTGAGGTTGCTCCTGAGCTGATACACGCCTCCTTGTTCTCAACACACATTGACTCTATGACGGGAGGCCTTTCTCCTGCTCTGTATTCTTACTGTGTTGACGCTGCTTGTGTCTCTTGCACCATAGATTATGGATACAGGAAGAAGAGCAACGATGGGCAACTATCCCCTGTGGCTACCTTCCATCACGAAGGCAAAAGCTTTCCCCAAATGTGCTCCCCCTACAAAGCCGACTTCCATGTACCTCTCAATGGCCAAAAGTATGTCCCATGACTTCCTGGTTTCAGAGGAGACTGGGTACAGGTGTTTAGAGTTTCTAGTCTCTACTAGAGTGAGGCGAGCAAGACGGAAGGGTTGGGCGGGTGATTGGCTAGGCAGCTTTCACCTGCTGCACAACTTCTCTGTGCTGTTGGCCTTCTGCTTCTCTCGATAGACAGACCTTCCTTCTTCTGCGTCACCATTTATATAGCTAAAAATGGCCACCTTAAGCTCTAGAGAACCCCCCAGCCCAGAGGCCTGTTTCTCAGTTTGTGATCAGTGGCATTCCTGTTTTAGGTTCACTGGGGATACTTGTTAAAAGCATCCTGCACTTCAAACCTGCTGCACCAAATACATCCTGAAGATCAGAGATCCCGAAGATCAAATATTTTTCAGCTCCAATCCTAGCCATATGGCTTTGGAGCTTGGGAATCTCACATGATTCTTGTGTACACTAACATTTGGGAGTCAATGAACTAGAGTCCTTGTATCCCAAATCCAGAGCCCTGGGAAAGGCTCCAGGTTGGCCTGTTTGGGTTCTGTATGTATAACACTCAGTCCATTCAACTGAGGGTGCCATCAGAAGGCAGGCAGGCTCAGGGCCCATGGCACCCACCATCAGTGACGTTAGGAGTAATCTCTCTAGGTGCCTGGGTGGGGCGAGGAAGGTAACTCTGTGAACTTCTCTGCAGTGGAGCTTACCATTCCCAGCATGCAATTTCTCATTTCACAGGAGCCTTCTGATGATCGCAGGTACCCGTCTTCCCCAGCAGTTTTCTGCTTATGCAGCTCTGGCCCTGCCTCTGACCCAGTGTCCCTCCCCCCCCCCCCCCCGCGACAGGGCCCAGTCTGCAGTGGGGGCCACCTCATTTCACCTCCTTCCTAACCATTACCAGATCCTTCCTGGCCTCACTCATTGTCGCTCAACTTTGAAATGCTGTGGAGCTTTTTGTCGGCATGTCACAACTCAGGTCACGCAGACAGTTCAAAATTTATAGCCGCAAATCAAATATGAAGAATGTGACATTTTGAATTCTCCTGTGATTAAACGCAGCTCAGTTCCATTTGTAAACTTCATTTTTCCTGATAACGGATAACCTAAAGCTCTTACGTTAAGATAGCTCCTCACTTTCAGTTTAAAGTGTTGCCTCTTTTTGTAAGGAGGCAGTCATATTCAGAGTTTTCCCCCCTGGGAGTGACCTCAGTATGTAGGGGGCTCAGAAATAATCTGGGTTTTGGGGCGTTTGGGTGGTTCAGTTGGTTAAGCATCTAACTTTGACTCAGGTCCACTCCCGGTTCATGGGTTCGAGCCCCAGATCGGGCTCTGTGCTGACAGCTCAGAGCCTAGAGCCTGCTTCAGCTTCTGTGTCTCCCTCTCTCTCTGCACCTCCCCTGCTCACCCTCTGTCTCTGTCAATGATAAATAAACATGAAAAGTAATAGTAATAATAATCTGGGATTTTATGCAGTCCTTTGCCTTTGATGGCCACTGTGCAGTCATGCTCTGGGCTCTGGAGAACTGTGGCTGGCATCCATAAAGCGTCTCCCCTCCTGCCCGGCCGTTGATGTGGAGGGCTGGCAGTGCTGCTGAGGACTCTGGGCTCTGACCTGACCCCCATCAACCATGGAGCCCACACTGCTGTGTCTTCCTGTCCTGCTTGCTCCTAGACCTCTCCTGATTACCAGCTTCCGTACTCCCTCCACACACCTGCCCGGGTATTCAAAACTCTCAATTGCTTCTCATTATTCAGTGCTATGCAGGGCTTTGCAAGCCTTTGCTGAGTCCTGTCTGCTTAGCCACTTCCCTCAGCCATTGCTAATTCAGATCCAAGAGCCAAGTTGCTCCAATGCCTTTCAAAATCAAAGCTTTTTATGAGACTCACCTCTTGGGCTCTGCCTTAGTAGGTGCTATTAGAAGTCTCCTAAACCTATTGCATGTCCTTACCACATTCCACATAAGGTCTGACCACAGGAGGGACCAGATTTTGCCACCAGCTACCTGATTCTTATTAAGTATCCTGTCTTATCCTCTCTGAATCGCCTCCTCTTGCTCACTGGTAAATCTTCATTTCCTTTTTGGATGGAAAGGACTGGCATTCCTTATTATTCTGTGGAAGTTAAGTCCAAACTAAGTGCTCGGTCCACCAAACTTGGTTCTTGATCACTAAAGCTTAGCTCTTAGAATTCCATGGAACCCATGTATGTTTTTTTTTCTTTTTGAGAAATCTAGTTCTTATAAGTAAAAAGCCTTTTGGCTTTCAGATGATTGTGCCTACTCTGCATTTAAGAAACGCGGTTAGAAATTTCACAGGCCTCTTTGATTTTGGATGATTTGTTCTCCCCTGATAGTAGCTCATCTAGAAGGTATCACCAGTGCTGGAAACATGTAGGAGAAAAGCAACCAAGAACACAGATCAAAAACCACACACTTGATTGTCCCTTTCACTCACTCAGATACATTGCCATTGCCTATGTCTCATGTGTGTTAACCTTGTCGCTCATGAACTAGAAGCTCCCTGATGGCAGCACCAGGACCCTCCCAGGGTAGAACCGAGGAGTCTAACTAAAACCAGTTTATCATAGTCAGTGCCAGGCCAGCTTGGAGAGCATTGGGTGTGTCGAGAAAAATAAAGCACTCTGGGTGCTTCTCTCTCTCTTTTTTCCTTCCAGAAGAAAGGATTTTAACTACACCTATCACAAGATATGAGCCAGTGAAGCAGCATTTTATCTAGAATCAAGGGCTCTGTGCTGTACGGTTTTGTTGGTATGGAAACCATGTGCCAGATACTGCAACGGAATCCTCACTTGCTTCTATCACGCTCTGCTGACCACAGTCAAATGATAGTTCTTACCAAGCCAACCCTTGTGTGTCAATAAAAGTAGCTTAAGAGCCATGTAAATAAGTGTCATGACCTAATTTCATGAAAACCAGTGAGTAGCACATGTTATTAGGATTAAACTCTTTTTATCAATTTAGCAAAACTGAATTGGATGCTTTATATAATGTACTTTACATAATGCTTTGTACAAATGTTATCTCCCAGGAGTGGTCCTGATCTCCAGACTATGTGTCTACTT